TCTACCTCCTTCTCCTTTGCCTTTTTCATTTCTATCGTTATCCTCCACCTGTCCCCGTTTCCTACATTCAATTGTCGATATGTCTCTGTGTGTGTGTTGTTCTGTTGTTCTTTCTCTGTGTGTCTCTCTCTCTCTCTTTCCCGTTCTTCTCCACCCTCCATTTCCCAGCCCACTGGGCGAAGCTGGATCAAGTGCCGAGTTTTTGTTGCCCGCAGCTCGCTGGGCGTGATTGGTCCCAGTGCTTTGGGAATGCGCGCGTGATGGGGAGGGGTACTTGGGGGACCGAGCGTGGGCTCGAGGAAAATTGTGAACAGGATAACGATGACGAGGAGACAGAAGAGAGCTACTTCGAGGAATGCGGTGGGGATAGATGGGGGGAACGAAGAGGATGAAGAAGGGGAGGAACAGGAAGATGAGGAGGAGGAGAGGATGAAGAAAACACAAGAGGACGAAAACCAAGGTGACGTGGGAGCACGGGGGTCAATGGGGGGCAGAGGAGAAAACAAGAGGGAGGTTCAGGATGTGAAGACGCAGGTGGCAAGGACTGATGAAGATTAATACGAGAAAAAAACAATGACGCGAGGGGGGCAGGATGGGGGGAATTGGAGGAGGTGGGGGGTGGAAGTCCCCACATTCAGAATCTTCAAAGGTCTGGAGGTGCCCAGGCGCCGTCAGGGGTCCTGGAAGCCCTTGGGACCTTGAGGACCCCCCACAAGGCCAGCATCATTCGAACAGTTTTTGTCCTGGATCATCGATGCATCTCGGAAATCCCGCTCGGAGTCTGTATTCCGAAGGTCGCCGAAGGGCCAGCATCACTCATTATGATGTGGAAGGGTGGGGAGAGGACCAGCAGGATAAAAGGGGAACCAGACATACCTCCGACGTCGTATAGTCATTGGATAAAAGATCTGTGTGCAACGTCGTTTTGGTCCAACAGTTACTGGCTCCTGGCAGTCGCGACCCTCGTCGCCGGGGCTGCTGGCCGTGGCGTGTTTGCCGTTTCGGGGCCCATGCCCAGGCAACGAAACCCAGGGGCCCCCAAAAGCATCGAACAGCCGGCCGTCACGACCACTTTTCAACAGCGTTTCGGAAAGGGTTCTAGGAGTGGTGGAACATGACCGCAGGAGAGTCCCACAGGGACGGACACCCGAGACCGCCCAGGCCAGCAACGGTCTGGCGGCGGTGTCGCCCGAGATCTCACCACAAGTTCTTCAATCGCTTCGCTCATGCCGCCGGCCCATGTTGTAGCATCGCTGGCATTTGCTTGGGTGCTTGGGGGGGCATTTGGGGGGCCTCCTGGGGCCGCTTGGGAGCCGCTTGGAAGCTTCTTGGGGGCCTCGTGAGGGCCTTTTGGGGGCCTTCTGGGGCTTCGTAGGGGCCTCTTGGCGCCTCCTGGGGGCTTCTTAGGGCCGAGGGCTGGAAATGTTGTTTCGTGTTTCCCCTCTGGGGCTTCTCTTAGGGCGTTCTTGGGGCCCTCTTGGGCCGTCTTGGAGGCCTTTTGGGCCGTCTTGGAACCCTCTTGGGCCGTCTTGGGGCCCTGTCGGAGGCCTCTCGGGCCTCTTAGGGCGATCTTTGGGGCCTCTTGGGCCGTCTTGAGGCATCGCGATGCCGAAAACGTGGAAACGCCAAAATCTCACCAAAACCTAAGGTAAAACAATAAACTGTGCCTCTTGGGGCCCTCTTTGGAGTGCTCTTGAAAGCCTCGTGGAACGTCTGGGGGCTATCTTGAGCGTCTTGGAGCGATCGTGTGGCATCTCGGACCCTTGGTGTACCATCTTGGGGGCCTCTTGGGCGCTCTTGGCTCTTCTTGGGGCTCTCTCTTGGCCCTTCTTGGGACTCTCGGGGACGTCTCGGGGCCCTGTTGGTGTGCTCCTGGAGTGCTCTGGGGGCTTCTCCCGGGACCTTGCCGGGATACTTTTCGTCTGGGGACCCCCAGGGGCCGCCCCGCGCGCGCGAGTTACCGGAGATCTTAGCACGCCTCTGGCCCGTTGGGCCGGCGAATTCCGGAAGCGTGCTCTCGCCTCAGTGCCAGCTACATGTTTAGTCCAGATGGCCACGAAACCTTTTTTGTGGATACGAACTAGTAACATGCACATGGCCGTGCTTCTACCCTGGTCCCAGCGGCAAGTCCAACCTGTCTCGCCTCTTGAGCCGTGCGCGGGAAGCGAGTCGTGCAGAACTCCATTCCTGCGTACGACTTGTCACACAAAAGAAGACACCCTGCTGCACTTTTGCTCTCCGTGTTGCCAGAGCTCCACTCTCGCGTACGCTGCTGGTGCAACAGTGAACACCCTGCCGCACCCCGTGCGTATCCTAGGGATCCCTAGGATTACCTAGTTATGAACGTCTCCACTAGCCGGCCTCCGACTCTTCGACCCGACCCTTCACCGTTGCTGCTACTAGGGTGCTTTGCTGGGGTAATCTTGCGGTGCCTCAGCCTGCAGGGGGACAGGGGCAAGGCATGCAGGTGGCGACGCCACGAGCGCGCATGTTTTTACCAGCACGGGGCCGCTGAACGTCGCCGCTCGGCCCCCCCGGGGGTGGATTTTCACCCCGGGTCGTTCCGAAGACCTGCAGGGGGCGGCTCCGCGGGCGCGGATGTTTTCCGGCTCGCCGTGGCGCGAGAGGGCATTCCGAGGGCGGACGCTCCCGGCCGGGGGGGGCGGGCCGCCACGAGGCCGCGGGCAGAAAGACGAAAGAGGCGTCGGCTCACGTCTCTCTCTCTTCCCCGGGGAGGGGGGGAGGCGGAGGGAGGAGGGAAAAGGAACGGACCAGAAGGTGGGCGAAGGCTGGCAAACCCGTGGCTGCTACAACAGAGCTCTGGGAAAGTATTTCCGCCTTCCGTGAAGCAGCCCGTTTATCATTTGGTGCGCTGAGCTTGATTCCGGGAATTTGTTTTTCCCTTCCGGGAAGACCATTTTAGCAGCCACGGATTTGTCAGCCCTCGCCCAGCTTCCAAATGGAGGAGGTGGGAACAGCAACAAGGAATCTGGGGAAGGGAGGGAGGAAGGACGGAGGGCAGGAGGAGGAGGAGGAAGAGGAGGAGGAGGCGGAGGTGGAGGAGGAAGAGGATCAGGTTGACTTCCCTTGTGCATCCCGCGACTCAGGTCGGTTGGCGCTCAGGATGCCTCACCAAGATCGCGATTCTGGATACATGTAGAGTTCTGTTCGCGCATGTAAGACAGGTTTGGGACTGCCTCCCAGGTGTCACAGGTGTATGGAGGCACCGTATTCATGGACCTGGTTTCCGCCCTTTGTCCAGCTGCCTGCGGCGAACTCCGCCACCGTGCCAGGTGGGGGACACTCTGGCCACATGCCCGCCCAAGCGGTGCTGACCGCTCGAGGGGAGCCCCGGCACTGCTCGCCCTTCCTCCAGGGGGATCTCAAAATCAGATTAGGAGTTGAAACCCGCCCCCAGGAGAAGCTAAGAACCAGGACCCTGGGACGGGGGACCGAGGTTCCAGGCCGAGGAGGAGGGCCCAGAGGGCCCCGTCCGATTCACTCTAGCCCGTCCTGGGGGCTTAGCTCTGGGCCGTGCTACAACAACCCTACCCATTTCCTGCGGAATCCCTCGGAGCAAGACACGATCCTCGTCCCTGGTTTTCTTCAGCGAGAAGCTCTTCTGCCCCCCACTGTCTTCGCCACAAACTAGCGGCTCGAGAACCCCACCAGCTTTCAGTTTCAAAAAACGGCGGCTACCCAAGAAAGCTGGCGGAACAACGGCGCTAGCCTCACTCTTCGGATTCACGGCATCTCCACCCACACGACGAGGAAGAGGTGCGGCAGCAGCTTTCTCTTCTGGAACCTATCCAGCAGACGAGCCGCATCCCGTTCGAGTGATCCCCTCGGTGCAGGAGCCTTGTCATCGCCTCTTTGAAGCACTCGTCGGGCTTACAATGCTGGAAGGGGCTTTTCCTCCTCCCCACCTTCCCCTCGCGCATTGCGTGGTGTCGTTAAATCATTGTGAGTGGTGTCGTTAGATGGTGGGACGGGCCATCCTTGATTGCAGCGTGGCCTCGCTGCATCTGCCTTGATTTCTGCGCTCCGTCCTGTCTGCTCCCAGTCCGTCCGCCGATTGGAGTAGGGACGCTCTCCTCACTCTCTTACCCCTGCCCTTTCCAGTCGTCCTGCTCCTCCCTCCCCCCGCCCCTCCCTCCTCCCTCCCCCTCCCTCCCTCCCTCCCTCCCCCCCTCCCTCCCTCCCCCCGCCCCTCCCCTCCCTCCCTCCCTCCCTCCTCCCTCCCTCCCTCCCTCCCCCCCGCCCGGCGTCTGGGGCCCGGGGCCCCCGTTCGCCGCGTGGGGCTCCGCCGCTGCCGCCCGCAGCGGAAGAGAGGAGCAGCGGCAGGGCCACCCGCCTCCGCCCGCCTCGGCGCTCACCCGCCTGCCGCCCTCGCTCCCTCCTCCCCCTCCTCCTCTCCTCCTCCTCCTCCTCCTCCTCCTCCCTCCTCCTCCTCCTCCTCCCTCCTCCTCCTCCCCTCCTCCTCCCCCTCGATCCCTCCCGCGCCTCCCTCCTCCGTCAGGGGCCACATGTGAACCTACCCCTACCCCCCACGATTTCTGCGGGGGAGGGGGGGGTCACTTCGCTCGGGAGCTCCCGAGCGAAGTGAACCCCTCCCCCTCAGAAATCGTGGGGGGTAGGGGTAGGGTTCACATGTGGCCCCCTATCCGTTCCCTGGTCGGCGGCGAGCGGGGAGTGGAGCGCGAGAATGGAGAGAAGGCCTCCTCAGGCGGCGGCGGGGCTGCTCAGAGGCCCTCGCGCCTTCGGGGAGGTCTCTTCTGTGTCTTCGGGGAAGGCTTCGAGAATTCCTCAGGAGGCCAGGGGACGTCTGAGTTCTGCGTCGTTTTTCAAGCCGGATCGGTCAGTGAGGGTCCCGGGGCCCGAAGCTGGGCGGACGCGCCCAGCGTGAAAAAGTTGCAGCGCCAGGATCTCAGGGCCCCTCCTGGCGTCGATCCCCTCCCCCCCCTCCCCTCCCTCCTCGCCTGGGCCCCCGTCAGCTCGAGGTCTTCCTCTCGCACAACGCCCTCGGCGGCCCCGCCCTGGAGCGCCTCCTGCGGGCGCTCGCCGCCGGTTCCCCGCAGGGCCAGGCCGCGGCCGTGCCGGTGCTCCGGGGAAGCCCCGAAAGGGCTGGGATGGGGGCCGCCGCCGCCTCTCTCCTCCTCCTCGCGCTCCTCCCTCCTTTTCCTGGGGCTCCTCCCTCCTCCTCCCTCCTCCTCCTCCTCCTCCTCCTCCTCCTCCTCCTCCTCCTCCTCCTCCTCCCCCTTCCTTCTTCTCTTCCTCCTCGCCTTCCTCTTACTCCTCCTCCTCCCTCTCCCTCCTCCCTCCCTCCTCTGTGCGTCCCGTCAAAGCCGCACCGTGGTGCAAAAAGGCCCTCTCGGATGGGCCTCCCCTGGGGTTGGTGGCTGACCGCTCGAACTTCTCTTTCCTTTTCTCCCTCATTGCGTGCAAACCTCTCCCCATCCCCTCCTTCCCTCCCTCCTGTCTCCTCTCATCCTCCCATCCTCCTCCCGCCGCCGCCGCCATCGCCGTCGCCGCCGCCGCCGCCACTGTCGCCGTCGTCATAGGCGTCGTCGTCGTCGTCGTCGTCGTCGTCGTCGTCGTCGTCGTCGTCGTCGTTGTCCCAGACGCCTTCGTACCTCGGTAAAGTTGCCTCCTTCTTTCTCCCTGCCTCCATCCCTTCCTCGCTCTCTCCCTCCCTCCCTCCTCCCGCCGACGCCGCCGCCGCCGCCGCCGTCGTCGTCGTCGCCGCCGTCGTCGTCGTCGTCGTCGTCGTCGTCGTCGTCGGCGTCGTCTTCACAGACCCCCTCGCGCCGTAACAAACATCACGACAGGCGGTTTTGGATTGTCCTGGGCGTCCAGGGGCCGTCTCTGGGCGCTGAGGCTGCTGAGGCTGTCAAGAACCGGCTCAGGATGGAAAGCTGGCCCCAGGAGAGCGGTCGAGATCGTTTGGGGGCCGACGTCATGAACACATCACGACATCGGGGTCGGGGACTCTGGGTCAGATGGGGTCAAGCCGAGAAACGGCGGCGCGCCTCCCCGGCGTGGCTCCTCCTTGCTGCTGCCTCCTTTGGAGGCTTCCTCGGGACGAAGCTGGCTGGCCTCGGGGACAGGGTCGAGGCCTGCGGGGGTCCACGTTGTGAGCGCCGACGTGGCGGTCCTGGGCGGAGGGCATGTCCGTGTCCGTGGCCTCGCGGGCCTGGCCCCTGGGCTGCGGCCCCGCGGAGGCAGGGCGTTTTCGCGGATGCCCCGCGCGGAGCGTATCCGTGCGACCGCGTATCCGCGGGAGCGCGCCGCGGAAAAGCCAGACCGCGAGGGCGCGGGTACAGGCTGTCGCCGAGCGTGGGTCGGGGGGTTTGGGCTCGTCTGGCGGAGGGAGAACGTCCACAGCAGTCCCAGTCCAGTCTGAACAGGACTCGCGGCGTCGGGTGCCGCCTGTCAAACCAGCGGCCAGTTGTTGGCTGTGGCCATCGTTTGCTGCTTGCCAGCGGCGCGCCGAGGGGGTCAGGGTGAGAGGGGCAAGGCCTTCTGAGAAGGTGGCGAGGCCTCTCAGAAGCCCTCCAGCCTTTCAGAAGCCCTCTGTGTCTGTGACCACTTGCGAGCTCTACCCCTACGGGTCCCATCGACACTGGGATGTCGACCAGCCCCGCTGGGGCTCCCTTGGCTGCAGACACCCCTCAAGTTTTGAACCCTGGCCGATCTTTCAGAAACCAGACCTGCAGGGGGAGGGTTCACATCTGGCTGCTCACTGCAGCTTCGGAGAAGGCTTAAGGTGGGTTCGTGCGGCGTGGGCGCGCCGGCGACACCGGCGAAGGGGCTCAAGGTTGAATCTTGCGACGCGGAAGCACCGATAGACACGGCAACGCCGCTGGACCCGGCCGAGTTCAACCCTGAGCGATCGGGGCCGCGATCGACTGAAGGCTGAACGATCGACGCCGTGCCAAAATCTGTTGCGCGCGCCGATGCCGCGCGAGCCTGCCGTGTCAAGCTCCCCTCTGAGCCACCCCTCGGCGCGCCGCCGAGTCTGGGCATGCCCCCCCTCTCCTCCTCCTCCTCCTCCTCCTCCTCCTCTTCCTCCTCCTCCTCGTCCCCGTAGCCACTTGGGCTCCTCCTCCTCCTCCTCCTCCTCCTCCTCCTCCTCCTCCTCCTCCTCCTCCTCCTCCTCCTCCTCCTCCTCCTCCTCCTCCCCCCGTTTCCTCCTCCTCCTCCTCCTGCTCCTCCTTCTCCTCCTCCTCCTCCTCCTCCTCCTCCTTCTCCTCCTCCTCCTCCCCTCAAGCCATCTGGGCTCGAGAGGGCGGGATCAGGGGTCCCCACTGAGGAGTCCGCGCCCTCGGAACTCCGCCATGGGTCGCTCCGGTGCTCGTGGCGTTGCGGTGCGGTATGGTCACACCGTGGCGCACTGCAGGACGGTGGAAGAGGCGGCGCGGCTGATCCAGCTGCTGGCCTCGGGCGATCCAGGTGCCAGCGTCCTCGACGGGTTCGAGCAGGGCCTTAGGGGCGCTGGGCAGAAGCTGGGCCCAGGGCGCAAGTCCACCTCAGAGGAGGTACGCCGAGCCCTGGCCAAGGCTCAGCCAGAGTTCGCGCGGCGGTAGGTGGCGATGCGAGGCGGCCTGCGCTGGGCAGCCCATCCCGGCAGGGACCTGTCACAGGAGGTGATGGAGGCCTTGCACGCCCACTCTGGCACCATCGGGTCGGAGCAAGACGAAGCGAACCAAGGGACGCTCGACGAGAAAGCAAACGCGACGACGCTCCTAGCCGAGGAGGTCCTCGAACTACAGGCGGCAGACCAGCGCCACCAGAAACTCCTGACGGACGCGTCTGCGGAGCAGCGCGCGCTGGAGCTGAAGGTCGAGGAGACCGAGGACGAGGCAGTGCAGCTCTCCCACAGGTCGCACGAACAGAGCCAGAAGATCTCGGAGGCCCTGGCGGACCTGCAGGAGCGCAGAGGTGCGGCGGCGAGGCCCCCCTCCGCGCAGGGCAGAGGGGTGCGCCCCGCTCGCGGAGGTCCCCGCCTTCCCGTTCTTGGCCTTCGGCTGCGAAGTGGAGAGGGAGGAGCTTGAGGTCGGCGTCGGGGGGGCTTGCTGAACACCGCAGAGCAGAAGCAGAGCAGCGGCGACGCTCAGGGGGCGTACGGGGAGCAGAAGAGCGTCGAGCAGGACCAGGACTGGCACCTGAACGCAGTCAAGACGGATGAGCACAACGACACCGCGCTAATGGGCGTCGGCAGCGGGCGCGACGACCAGGGCGGGACGCTACGCACCAACGAGGCGGAGGTGAGCATCAAGGGTGGCAAGGTCAGCTCCACGGGCATGGTTGCGCATGCGGCCGTCGGCATCCAGCAGAGCATCGTGGGGAATCAGGGCAGTCACCTGCGCACCCACGCGACGAAACAGGGCACCAGCGACGTGCAGGAGGTCCCGGCGCGGTGGGGGGCCGCACAAACAACCCCCAGACGGCGCGCGCAGAGGCGTCCGAGAAAGCAGCAGAATCCCGAGCTGATGCAGGAGCATCAGCAAGACGTGGACGCAGAGACGTCCAGTTTTTCACTTGTGCCAGTTCTCATATTCGCGCTGGCCCTCGGCCTTGTCGCCCCCGCTGTGATCGGGATGTTTGGGTGGCACGAGATTCCGCTCCAGGGAGGTCGGCTCATGACTGCCACTTCCATGACGGATTCGTGTGCTTGGCCGGGCTCTCTGCGCGCGGCGGCGAGGGCGACCGCGCGCTTGGTTTGGGGCCAGAAGGCGAAGAGTATAAGTTCGACGATGACTTTGTCGCCAGTGGCGCGACGGCGTGGCTCCTGCAATGCGCCGAGGGAGCGCCGCCTTGCTACAAGTACACCGAGCTCTGCCTGGTTGCCACCGCGGGGTAGAGCCCGCGGAGCAGCAGCTGGGCGGCGCCAGCGCGGTGGGCCCTGGGTCCTGGCAGCACCCCTCAGACTGCCAGGCCCAGGGGCCGCCAAGAGGGCGGAGGCTGGGGCCGTCGGCCCACTGCCCGCGCGGGCGCCGGGCGCGCGGTCGTGCCGAGCCGTTCGGCCCTCGTTTCCGTGCCTGGCCACTGGTGTTGAAAACTCCTCCTCTCCTCCTCCTCCTCCTCTTCCTCCTCCTCCTCCTCCTCCTCCTCCTCCTCCTCCTCCTCCTCCTCCTCTTCCTCCTCGCGTTCCATTTTGTATTTCTCCTCTTCCTCCTCCTCTTTCCCGCCCTCATTGTCAACCTCGTCCACGTCCTCGTCCTCTTCGTGCTCTGTCGCCCCGCTCTGTCTGGGCGCGCCCCCAGGTGTGGGTCGAGGCGTGCCCGGGCCTCTGCGCCCAGCCTCGGTGCGCGCGGAGCCGCTCCGCGCTGGGGGGAGCCCTGTCAAAACACGGCGGGGGTTTTTCTCTAGTGTGGGGAGCGCTCTCGGCCGCTGTGGGCCCATAGCCGACACCGGGGGGGCCGCTCTCGGCCTCCGTGGACCGTCGCGTCTGAGGCGGGGATTTGCCGATGACCACCACCTGGTGGATCGGCCCCGGCGATGCGAATGATGATGCATGACGATGGTGATGTTCATGACGATGGTGATGCTGATGGGGACGATGGTGACGATGATGAAGATGATGATGGTGTCGATGATGATGCTGATGGTGTTTATGATGATGATGGTGGTGATGAGGCTGCTGATGATGTTGTTGATGATGATGATGATGACGCTGATGATGATGCCGATGCTGATGCTGATGATGCTGATCAATGATGCATGCTGCTGTTGGCGCTGCTTCTGATGATGATGCTGATGATGATGACGATGACGATGCTGTGGATGCTGCTGATGATGGTGCTTTAGATGCTGCTGCGGATGATGATGAGGAGGGGGATGGGGATGGGGATGTGGATTCGGATGAAGATGAGGATGGTGGTGGTGATGATGATGAGGATGACTGTGATGATGACGATAACTCTGATGCTGATAATGATCACGATGATGATGGTGATGATAAAGATGATGAGTAAATGGATCATGGTGCGGATGATGGGGATGAGGATGACGATGAGTATGAGGATGATGCTGCTGTTGATGATCATGGTGATGACGAAGCTGCTGATGATGATGCTGTTGATGCTGATGCTGATGCTGCTGGTGCT